CTTTTGACTTTTATCTTTTTTTTTTTAATCTTTTTTCTTTCTATTACTTTCACATTTGTTATTTTTTTCTTTTTCCTTTGTTATTTTCATTTTATTTTACTCTTTCTTTTCCACTTTTCATTTTTGTTGGATTTTAATTTTACTTTTCAATTTCAATTACGTTGCTAAAAATTTTCATATTAGTTTTGTTAATTTCATTATGAACTAAGTTTGTTTTCTAAGATACCAATAGATCCTTTATCGTGATACTTTGTTTTCTTTTTTTTAATTGTTGATACAAGTTTGTTGTTTTTTTCCGAGTTGCATATTTTACTCTATATTTATTTATTTATTTATTTATTTTAGCCATTTAATTAGATGAATTAAAAACTCTTAGCCGAATTGTAAAGGAGGTTTAGAGTGTTGTTTTTGAGTCAAATAACGTAAATTGTTTGAGATAAAAATATACTTAAATAATTTGTGCAGTCTAATCATTTTCCGTAATAAATCTTTATCTTATTCAATTTGCATAGGAATATAGCAAAGTGAAAAGTAAACATAAAATTGCTACATCATTAGAAAAGATTAGTAGTTTAAATTAGGATTTTCTTGGCTGTCATTTGAATAGCAAATTGTAAATATATATTATATTATATTATATTATAGGATATATAAATATTTGATATGTTTTGCTTCGTAAACACTTAAGTGGACATTACTTCGTTTTGACAACCTAATAAATATATGATTCAATTTAAATAACAAAATTTTCAAAAATAAAATCTTATTCAAATTATCAATGATTAATTCTTTATAATTTTGTTTTCAAAAATAAAAAATGTCAATAAATTTTAATAAAAATTTAAAATTTAAAAAATTAATCTTATTGGATTAAAATTTCACTTAGATAGTGTTTGATATTATTTTCAAGAACACTACAGTGATCTAATTACCATAGTTATAAATTATAAGAGTGATTTGATCACCAGTGATATTAGATTATCATATTTAATATAATAATATAAATTACTAATACTTTCAGATCATTGTATTTGGTATTATATAAAAAAATCATATAATACAAAATATCCAAAACAACCTAGAAAAAAATATTTAATATTTATTGAATCGACAATTTATAAAATAATTAAACATTATTTTATAAAAAATTATAAAGTATAAATCAATTTTGATAAAATAATTTCTAAAAAAATTATTAAATAAATTTATTATCATTTTTTAGTCAATATAAATTTATAATATAAAACCTTTTTTTAAGAATCAGTGATAATAAACCGATTTTTTAAAATTTTAAGTGATTAGTTTCTTGAAAAAATGTTAACTATATTTTTCATGAAAGTAAATTAATCAAGAAATACTATTAAAAATTACTTTTTTATGGTGACAAAATTTTATTATCCTTTAGTTTGAGAATTATATTACTCTCCAATATAATTATTTTATCATTCCAATGATTTAAGATTATTATCACATATAATTTTTAAATTATTATTAAATAAATGATATAATTATTAAGTACAAATATCATGACTTTTAATTAGATTATTCTATACTAAACACTATCTTATAGATGTTTAAGATTTTTCTCAATGTATTAAAAAATCTTAATTTTTTTTTTTGATAGGGTTACTTGTATTCTTCTTTCGTCAAATGGAATATTTTTTAAAAGCACCAACAAAGTCAACTCCGCACTTTACTTCACCTCTCTTCTTGATTTCGCCTTCATTCCTTCTCTCCCTCATTAAAAAAGCACTTTTCTTTCGAATTTGATATCCTAACAACGGACCACTCTTCTCTCACTCTTTTTCTTCCAATCGTCACTTTTGAGTTTCCCATATTTATTCAACATCCAAAGCTCTCCTTTTTTATCTTTCTCTAAAATAATCAACAATCTTGTAATAATATAAACATCCTCCCGTTTCGTACAACTCTTCACACGTATCCCCAATCCCATTGTCATGATGAAGCCTTACCCCCAATCTTCTTCTAGAACTGAAAAAGAAGTACTACAGTTTATTAAATGTGCAGACTTTTTTTTTTTATTCAATTAGCAACTTTTTTTTTTGAAAAGTATTATAACTTTTATGATTTTATTCTTATGCAAAAATAATATTTATTTTCAATTATTTTTCTTTTAACACACATTTACTAATTTTTTCTTTTCATATTTTTTTCAAAAATTTCTTTAAAATCACATAAATAAAGGTAAGTAAATACTACAAGCTAATTTATTATTCAACTATGTATATTTTTGCTTTTTAAAAAATAATTTTTTTTTATTTTTTTATTTTTTCAATATTTAGATCACAATTATAATAATGAAAGTATGTAAATTTTTTTTGTGATTTAATTAACTTTTATCCAATTGCTTTGAGGAAAAAAAATTAGCACGGTAGACTTTTCATATAATACAATAGTTATATGATGTTAAAATTTTACTAACTGTTAAAATCCACTTCTTCCCTTTTTTTCCTTATTTTATTTTCATTTTTACCGTAATTTTTGTCTTATTATCTACTTATGGTCACAGGAATGCATACATAACCCAATAGATATATAAGTTTGAAAATTTGAGTAATGTGAAAACCCATTTGTTTCCTTTTCTTTACTTATTTTTATCAATAGTTATATTTGTTTCTTAGCTCTCTTCGGGTGTAGTCTATCACAAATATTGATTTGAATTTAAATTTATTTTTTAATCTAGATATATTTAGATTAATTTTTTAAATTTAAAATTTTCTTTTCGATTTGTGCCCCCTCATGTTCTTAAATATTCATTTATATTTAAAAAAACATCATGCTTTTGTTATCCAGGTTAGTTTCTCTTTCTTTCTTGGTTTAATTACATTGTATTGCTACTTTAATGTTTTTTATCAAGCATTATCCAAATCTTTTTTTTTTTTTTTGAAAAAAATCTTGATTTATTGCTTAATTATCCATTATTAAACTACTTTAAACTATTAGCAAAAAAGTTTTCATTCATGACTTTATAACTATTAGAAGAGTTTTTTAAGGTCAAAATCCTTAAAATTATGTCATATTGCATACTTTTTATGTACAAGAAATGCTTTATTTGGTAAATTCCTAAAAAATTATTCAATCATAATAAAAAAATTATGTAATGATCCATCACTTATTTGCATAGGATCCACGTAAAATTTTGTGATGTCTCACACAACTCTAAATTTTGATAGGTTAATTGTATTATAATAATTATAGGTGAAATACTTCCCAAAACTGTTGATGGTAAATGAGTTTTTTGTTTTGTTTTTTTATAATAAAAATAAAAAATTTGACAAGTAACACTATGTTTGGATAGATATTAATAAAGGAAAGGAAAAAAAAAAAAAGAAAGGAAATGGTACATATACCTCTTATTTGGATAATTAAAATTAATAAAGAAAATAAAAGGAAATGAATTTTAACAATCATTGTATGGATAAATAGTGAAAAGGAAATGAAAAAATTCATTATAATTTTTTCCAATTATAACCTTTTTTTTAATAAAGTAACATATATTATACAAATATATCTTTATACTACTTAACTTATATAAATAAATCTTTTTGAACAAAATTGAGTATTTTTAATACGATAAGATATATTAGCTAGTTATTGATTTACTCTTAATTTTGTATTTAATTCAATGTTTTAATTTATTCTGACACTAATTTGGCTTATTTTGTTGTTAAGACTTAAAAAATCATAAAATATTTATAAACTATTATGTTATATAAAATATTTATAAAAAAATTATCTTTGTAGAAAATGTTAGTTATATAATCAAATCTAATGTTATAATAAAAATATGGATATAATAATCTTTTCATAAAAATAAAAATTTTTCAACTTTTTTTTTCTTAGCTTTTTCTCTGAGATATTAAAAAAATAAGGATTACAAAGAAAACAAAAAATTATTGGGTTTTCACTTCTTTCTTTTCTTTTAAATTAAAAGTTTATCCAAACAAAGGAAATGCTTTTTTTGTTTCCATTACTTTCCTTTATTTTTCTTTCCTTTCTTTTCCTTTCCTTCAATCCAAACATAGTTTAAGTATTACTTTTAGCATGACATGATGCATTTATTTCCTATTTTTCTTTTTCATGTATTACTTTTAAGGATTTATAAATGATCTCTGAGTTAAAGTAAAATATTTAATATGGTACCTAAACTTTAAAAATTTTTAATGTGGTACCTAAACTATAAGTTTATTGACTAATGTGATACTTGCACTTAATGCTAACTCTAAATGATGACACATGTCATATAAATAATTCTTTAAATATCACATTAGTTAATAAATTCATACTTCAAGTATCACATTAAGAATTTTTTATGTTTAGATACAAAATTGAATATCTCATTATAATTTTACAACTATTCATAACATTATCCGCAAGCCTTTAACCTAGTGGCTAAAGGTGTTTGAAGAGATATCAAAGGTCTGATTTTAAATCAGGCATCCCCCTCTCTTTTATTTGTATTAAGACTTTGCCTTCTTGATATAATAAAAAAAAGCTATTTGTAACATTAACTTAGTTTAAAAAAAAAACTATTCGTAACATTAACTTAGTTTATTTTTAATTTGATCTATTTTTCTTCATAAGTATTTAATAATATTTTCATTATCGATCTAACAAGAAATGTTAAAGAGTTTGGAGTACTTTTTTTCAAGTAATTATAATCTATTAGTATTTTTTATTTATAAAAAAAATACATTTTAATATAAAAATATCTATTTTAATTGGATACATTGATTGAATTTAATGCCTTTATTTCAAATTACTATGATAAATTGATTATTAAATGATAATAATTAAAATTTATGTATTTATATAGATATATTAATCATATTAAGATTATTAACCCCAAAGTTAAAATATTGGTTTTTTATAACTTCATAATTTTACCGTTTATAATTTACGTAAATATTTATATATTTTGTTTTTTTTCAACTTAAAAGAGAAGATTTTATTGAAAGAAAGGGGTCAGAAATTTATAATCAAGGCACAACATCAGAGTTACGATTAACTCCCATCCTTGCAAGGGCATCAGCAAAGTGATTTGCATCTCTGAAAACACGAATATAAGTGATTTTCTTGAAGTCCGCATACAAATTAAGAAGCTTGTTAAAAGTTGCATTGTACTGCTCATTGGGTATCGCTCAAATTGTTAAGCCAAGAAAAAACCACCTTGGAGTCGCTTTCGATGATAATCTCTGACAAAGGGTTGAGCTTGGCTTCAATCATAATTGACAATGCTTCAAAGACTGCTATGAATTCAGCCAGGTTTGAGTCTTTGATGCCAATGTTCTTTGAGAAAATGCGCCGAACATCACGGGCAACTCCTCCAACACTCGTAGGTACTGGCTTGCCGATGGCAGATTCATCCACGTTGATTTTCCATACTCCTTGAGGCGGTGGGGACCAAGAAATGCATTTTGAAGGATGAGGTGGTTCAACCATTTCTCCTTCCAAAAAAGAATTCTCGTTTCATCACCTACACAAAAAATAAAACTAGAAGCAATAATGTTAGAATTCATGCTTGAGTACCAGTTATTTTGAATGTAACTCCAGACACGAGAAAGGGAGTGGGACTGAGTGGGAGCAGGCCACAAGGTAGTAGGGGGCAAATTATATTTTTCATAGACAACATTCGTCCAGAGTGAACTGGATTCTCCACCGAATCTCCATGGCCATTTTAACAGTAAAGCTTGATTACAAGAGTCAATACTAACAAACCATGAAGATTGCTTCTACAGATTGTGTTCCAATCCACTAACGTCAATTTTCTTTTATCCTCCATATCACCCTACAAAATTTGCATTGTATTTTTTCAAGTCCATTTATCACTCCATATGCCTTTTCAAACAAAGGTATGTATTAAATTGGAAGATTGGCGGGATCGGTTTAATGAGCGCAACTCTACCCCCAATTGACAAAAGCTTACTTTTCTATTGGCGGGGTCTGCGGCTGAAGGTGTCAATTAGCGGTTGCCAAGTCGAGATCCGCCTTGGATTAGCTCCCAGCGGTAGGCCTAAATATTTTAAAGGGAGAGGGTCAACTTTACGATGTATATTTGCTGCCCAACATTCAATGGTTTGTTGATCCACTTTAATACCAAATTGAGCACTCTTGACAAAATTTACTTTCAAACCTGAGGAAAGCTGAAGACATCGGAGAATTCTCTTGATCATGACCAATTGATCAACTTCTTCTAGACAAAAACATAATAGTGTCTTCTGCGAACAGCAAGTGAGAAATCTGTTCTTAGAAGGAAGCCTAAACCTTCAGCTGCAATATTGAATAAGAAAGGAGATAGAGGATAGACTTGACATAGTCCTTTTTGCAACTATAAGTGATAAGAGGAGAACCATTAACCAGGACCGAGACAGAAGTGTTAGAAATACAGCTCCATATCCATGAAATCCATTTTAAGCCAAAACCCATAAGCCTCATGATTGAAATCAGAAAATCCCAATCCACGCTATGGAAAGCTTTTTCAATATCCAACTTCAAAATGAGACCACCATTGGGTGAGTTCTTCATGCAATCAATAACCTCATTACCTATCAAAAAGCGTCTATAATCTGGCGACCTTGCACAACGGCTGACTGAGCTGGGTTAATTAAGGAATCCATGACCTTTTTTAATCTGTTAGCCGAGATTTTTGCCAGTATCTTGTTGTCACTTCTAATAAGGGATATAGGGCGAAAGTCATCAAGAGATTCAATGCATTGTTTTTTCGCAGTAACAGAAATAAAAGAACAACCATCCCTTTAGGAATCTTGCCAGTCGTATAGAAATCATGTATAACTTCCTACAACTCAGGCTTGACTAACCTCCACTTTCTTTTTTTTTTTTTTGATGAAATAAATTGAAACTATCAGGGCTAGGGCTTTATCACTATCACAGTCCTCAATTGCCGCCCAAACTTCATCTTCAGTGAAAGGCATTTCCAATTGTTGGGCCTGAAGAACAGATAGTTTATTAGTCGCAATGTTTGAGAAAACCAGAAAAGGATCAGAAGCTTTTTAAAATGATCTTCAAAGTGTCATTCAATTGCCTGTCAACCTCTTTTGGATTCTTAAGTTGCTTGCCACAGTAATTGATATGACTAAGGAAATTGTTGCGCCATCTGCTGTTTGCAAAACAGTGAACAAACTTAGTTTTCCTGTCACCTTCTTGGATCCATTTCAACCTTGCCTTTTGTCTCCAAGTCTTTTCTTCTATGCTTTGGAAGCGTCATAATTTCTTTCTTTTTTGATGCGACGGTGGATCCAATAAACACATCTGAAGGCCTTTCTTCATATTTCTCCTCCAAGCTATTAATCTCCTTAGAAAGAGAATCAATGGAAGCAGCCATACCACCTTTCACGTATTCATTCCAGGATCTAATGTCCTTTTTTAGTAGTTTCATCTTTTGATGAAGCCGGAACACAGAATATCCATTCACCCTATAACTTCTCCACTTTTCCTCCACAAGCTTATCGAAATCACCATTATCCAGCCAATGGTTAAAACTCTTGAATGGTTTAGGCCCCCAATCAAAAGCATCAATGCCTGAGCAAATGGTTACATGGTCCGAGATTGTACCGTCAAGACTCCATTGATTAATTGATGAGAATGAAATCACAAAGTTTGAAGACAAAAGGAATCTATTTAATTTGCTCATTGCTGGTGTATCGCTCCTTGTATATTAAGTGTATTTCCTCCCAGCTAAAGGAAGATCAAGCAATTCAGTAGCTTGGACAAAGTTCACAAAGCCATTCGTAGATATAACAATAGCAGAAGAGTCGTATCGTTCATCATCATTCAAATATGCGTTGAAATCTCCCGCATAACACCAGAAGTCATTGTCATTTGCTTTCAATGTTGCTACTTCATCAAGAAAAACCTTCCTCTCTCTCACCTCAATCGGAGCATACAAATTGATCAACTTGACAATAACAGGGCAGTTTGAAAGCTTACCTTTCAAGCAGATGTAGCGTTCTTTGATTACCACAGAATCTGCCTCGACTCACCTCCTGACCACATACTGATTAAACGTCTCGGCTCCTGCCGACCCATTTGCATCACGATGGGCAAACTCAATTCCATTACTACCCCAGAGCTGGGGTATAGTCCTATTTGAAACTCCAGTAAATTTAGTTTCTTGAATAAACCCAGAGATCATCTTAAACGCCCTTTTCTTCTCTTTCAAATCGATACCTCTTATATTTAGAGAGAACATCTTCACAGATACAACAATAAACCCAGAGAATGCAAAAATAGGTAGATTATTAAGAGTTACCTTCCCTCTCAGACTCCCCTATTTCCATAGCCATTAATCTCTATAACTACCTCTTACTCTGCTACCAATGATAAACCCAATAGATTCCCGACTTCCATGCTTCCCTTTGAAGAGCTCTATTCCGGCTTCTGATGTCTTCATTTGAAATATATGCTTCATCAAGAGTTTGGGACTTGAGCACATCCTTTGCCCTCGTGTTGCCTTGATCCAAGATCCTTTTGCCCTTTTTTAATCTTTTTCTTTGGGTATTCGTCCTGCTCATGTGACTATTATCTTCATTCACCAGTACAAATTTTTTGCCCCATTTTTTTTTTTATTATTATTATTATGTGACCCGAACTGATGCGTTTCCTGCTTCCTCCCAACAATCATCCTCTGTCACCGTTATAGGACCTTTTGGCCCAAGCCGAGCAGTTGCTTACTCTTTGGCCAACTCTATTCGGCAAACATTGTGGACTTTTCAATTGAACTTCCACCCGTGTAATAACATCAGCCAGAATATCATTGTCGGGCAGCATTCTGTTTTCCATACAACATCGCCTATTGCTGCAGTCTTTGAAAAACAAATCCACGTCATCCAAGGCACCTTGTAAACAACATCCGTTTGAATTTGGCGGTGAGTTGGAAGCTTCCTTTGCTGTATTCATGGGTTCCAAGAAAACACAATCATCTTGATTAAGCCATTCAAATCCTATGTCTCTGGGCTGTTCATCTTTTTCACCAGACCATTCCCTGGAGTTTCGACCATAAATGAACTACTTCCTCCACACCACGGGCTTCCAATGAACTAGAATTTGTTGAGGATGAGATTGACGAAGCCTTTGGCATCAGCTTGTCATTTGGGTTTCAAAGAAAATCAGGACCATCCTCTATTGTTACTTTCATGTAAAAAGACTTGCCATTTATACGAATCTCAACCAAATTTGGAAAAGATACATCTTTCCAAACAAGTCATAAAACTCTAGCTGTATCCAAACGTTTCCTCCTCATTGTGCTATCATCAACGGAGATAAAGCAGGCCCACTGATTCCCTGTTCTCTGGAAAAAACTGTAACTCCAGACGTGAAGCGGGATGTTTTCCAAGTTTAGCCACACAAACTTATCATAAGAGATAAAATCTGGGCTCCATGGCTTTGTCCAAAAAAAAAAAAAAACTATTGGTTTAACCTCGTTTTGCCGTCTTCCAACATTCCTAGCATATCATCCTTTGATTCAAATATCAACAGCACCATACTGCCTTCAATAACTGTCATGGAGAAATGGAGGACACCTTGACTGATTACATACGGTTGAAGAAAATGGATGGATTGGGGCCGCACATTTTTCCAGCCATTTCATGTCAAGGTCTTTCATTTCGACAAGGATTGGATCAGAGATGTTGCTTGAGTGCTCGACGCCCCACTTATGAAACATTATTTGACTCATTCTCTATGCTTCCCTTCCACCTGAAGGGGTCTCCAGTCTCTCCACTATATTTCCAGTTAATATTGGTTTGTTTCCTCTAACCACGTCCGCATATGATGTCTTGTCAATAACCATGTTGCTATGCTGAGTTGGATTTTCTTTTCCAGTGTTGTTTCCAGCCCTGGGTTTACTGAAAAACTTGCCTTTGTCTTCTCGATCATACTTGGCTAGGCTCAGGCTTAGTCTCCGTCCATTCCATGATGTGCCATCAAGAGCACTTATGAATGACAAAGCCCCCTTTTGATCTTTAAATCCGAAAAGAAAAAAAAGCCAATTTTGCTACCTCTTATAAAAAATAAACAATATAAGAATAAAATTATTATCCATAAATTTAAATATTGTTTGGATATTTAATTCTATAATGATTATTGTTTATCATATGTTTTGAATTTTATCAAATTTTTAATTAAAAATTTTAATTTATTATAATTTGATATCTTAATTATATTATATATATTTCACATATATTTTGAACATGTAAATAATTAAATAATATTAATTTATGTTTTTCACACATTTAAATAATAAAAAATCCATCCATCTTTTGAATAATAAGCTAGTTGATTTAATAATTAAAAAAAGCACAGAGAATTAAAAATGTGAAATTGATACAACCCTAAGACTTTTATCATTGAAATGCTCTCATTAATCTCAGAATGGGGTTGATGATTGTTCATTGAAGCAACATCTTGTCTAGCCAAGTACGTAC